ACACACACACATGTATATACACACACATATGTATATACACATACACATATATAAAGCAAATTTACCTCAAATCTATATTGTCTACTGGGTACATCTAGAGCAGTAATATCTGACAGATTAACAAACTGTGTATTATGATGATCTTTTAGAAATGTAAACGTTGGGATGATGCCATCAGGAGCGATTAATAATTCCAATTCGTCACCAGCAGTTAACTGTACTTGTTGTATATATTTAGGTAGACAATTGTTAATATAATGACCAAAGTTTCTCAGGCGGTCAACATCAACATGACTAGGTTTCCGTACCGTGGCTGCGAAAATATTTGAATACACTAATGATTTTGTTAAATACTTTACATATATGGAGATTTCAGAATTTTTTTGCTAACAAAAATTAAAGAAAAAAAAAATAATCTCTACCAAATTTAGACAAATTGCAATAGCTTAATTTATTAATATTAAATTAAATAAATAAATTGTACATACGACGAGTCTCAGTTTTATCGGTCTTCTCGCTGGTAGTCGTGGTATTACATCTTACCATTGACGGAGAAGCGATAGCATAACCTGTCAAACGCGAGTATATATTATTACATAATTTAATAGAAACGTCGTTCCTATAATTAACATTCCATTACATTTTGGCGTAGCAAATGGTAAACTTCGCGATAATCTCCAATAGTTTCTCAATATCGACGTCATTTTCCTAAAGAATTCTTAAATATGATTACAAACACACTAGCGGTACATATTCTGCAACTTTCGAGATCATCAACAGCAGCAACTATATTGACGAATTAACCAACACCGACATTACCGACACTTATATCAATTAATACACATATCCAACAATGATATAATAATAAATAAATCAATCAGTGTTAAGCATGTATTGTTAATATTATGATTAACTGTTAATTACTTTCAATCTTTTGTTATTATTATATTGAAATACAAAATATTTTCATGTGTTCCACTAAAATACAAATATAATTGTCTTATAAATATACTATTTTGCAAATAATAGTATTTACATGCCCAGTCCATTCTATTATCAATGATATAATATCTACATTACCTAATGATGATACTGTCGTCATCTAAAAGTCACGCTGAAGGAGACTAAACGTTGATTAATTTAGCCAACGATTAACTTAATCAATATTTATACTACTTGTTAATGTGAATAGAACTATTTATTCTTTATTTGACATGCGGAAATAAAAATGAGATTAGAAATAATTATAGAAATAAAAATTTTGCTGTAAGCAAATTTTGTTGGAGAGTTAATTGTTGACTGGTGGTGATTGTGACTTGAATTAATTATCGATAATTAATAAGTAATTGGAGCTTAATCTTTAATAAATATAGCTAATAATAAATAAGTTTAATATAACTATTCTGTATAAAATTAGTGTCCAAGTCCTTTTATTTTTTAATGCTTCTATTTAAATTTATTCTATTACATTGTCTTATATATTTTTAATAATAGGAATTATCTTATAAAAATTATAGCTTCCTACATAAATTTACATTGCTTTTTTATTTTTAATTAAGATTTAACTTAGATTTAATTAAGATTTAATCTAGATTTTCGTCTAAATATCTTAAAAAAGGCATCAACTGATATCTTAAATATTATTTATATTTAATACAACAAATTTAATACTTACTTTGTGACATAATTACTAATTGTATTACTAGAACTCATATAATATTACATTTGTCCATTAAAAAAACTTTTTATATTATTATTTTAATTTTACAAGTAAATCATTTGCGTAATCGAACTGAATTCCTTGTTGGAGTTTCCCGCAACGATTTAGTTCGTTTTGGAGAAGGCGATGAGTTAATATTACTAAGCGTGTTTATGTCTTCCTTTGCGCGTTCTTTTCTTTTACCTATAAAAAAGCAAAATAAATTTGTGTTACTATTATTCTCTGCCACATCTATTATTTTACACACAGATACATACGCATACAAATAATGAATACATTATATGTATTACCCCGTTGTCAATTAGATCATCAGTTCTCGTAAAGTATTCATGACAAAATTATATAATTATATATAATTATAATACTAAAAACTAAGAGCTATAACTTTATTTAATAATATTAGTTATTTAATAATATAAGTTTCAAGTTTTGATTGTGTATTATTTGTTATTAATTTTTAAATGAATAAAAAATTATTTTTACTCAACAATGAGAAATTACAAAATAACACAAAACTAATAAATTTATTTTAGACTCCTTTAATTGAACAAATTTAGAAATATACAGTACATATAGTACATATAGTACAGGCGATAGGAATCAATTAACGCAATATCTTCTTAAATGTATTTATTAAATGTATAAATCTTGATTTTGGATGTTTCCACTCATGATTTGAGTCTTCAGCAATCTTTCCCTTCTAACACAATGGTTGTATTATTGCATTATAAATTAAATCTCCAACGTTTTTTCTCTCAAAAAATTGAACCGTTAATTGTTGCAAGGTAAGTCACATACTCACAAAGTTAGAAAGCTGAGTGTTTTTAGTTTGAACAAGTTGAATCAATTTATTAAGGTTCATAAAGATTCTTTAAATGATGATTTAAAAAGGAATGTAATCTACAAGATCAATTATTGTGATTGCGATGCGGAGATGATGCACATTAATCGACAGACCAATGGGCTAAATTTACCATTTTCTTAAATCATGCTTACGTTAAGATTCTTAATAAATTATAGGTTGTTCATAATATAATACATGTCATAAACTATAGTTTGTTTGTCTTCAAATTGACCGTTATGTTACTTGTTTAGCAATCATTTTTCAATCGACAATCGAAATGACAAGGCACAAACAGTTCTGTCAGTTAATGTTTTAAAATTTTGATGATAATTTTTAATTTATTAACAATGTACAAAATGTTGCATACGACATATTTATTGTTCAGTGTTGAGACGTCGACTGTGTGAGATTATTAATTTTCAAATTTTATACATATTTTAATCATTTATATAATTTTAGCTTGAGTTCTCTTTGCTACTCAGCTTTCTAACTTTGTGAGTATGTGACTTACCCCACAACAGTTAACGGTTCAATTTTTTAAGAAGAAAAACATTGGAGATTTAATTTATAATGCAATAATTCAACCGTTGTGTTAGGAGGGAAACATTATTGATGAAGACTCAAACGTGAGTGAAATGTCCAAAATTAAGATTTATATATTTAATATTAAGAATTGCACTAATTAATAATCAGCTTTGATTCCTTGTACTATATGTTATATATTTCTAAATTTGTTATTTTTATTCAATATCTATATTTATATATATACATATTACATATATATATTTTATTACGTTACATTAAATTATTTGTTTATTATATTTAGAATTTATTATTTAAAAAAATTCTAGAATAACGTAATATGTATATAATAAATAAATTAGATATATATAATA